GTTCCCGGCGTATGACGAATTGTTTGGACAGAACAAGTATTTCTACCAATTTATTTTCATTTTGCTCTGATAGAGGGAACAGTTTCCCTGTCGATCTTCTGAAACAGGCCTTGGTACATCACCTAGATAATAAAACAGCAGTGTCTCCCGGATCAAGTGCTGCTAGAGAGGTGAAGTGTTCATTTCGTGCCTCTGTGGGCTCTTGTTTTCCCCTGAGAGCAGACTCTTGGCTTTGCTAACAGGTCTGCTCCATAGCTGTGAAAGGAACCAAGCCATTCTTACCCTCTGCAGCTCTGGTTGCATCAGTTTGTCTCTGTTTGACGTGCACTGGGGTCACGGCAGTTTTGGAGATCAGCAAGCTGTCCCTAAGGAAAAGGGAGAGGCAGTAAGCAGTGTATGTAGGGGGCTGAAGGAGGAGCACATCCTGGGATAACCAGCAATTTGATAGCCTCAGGTATTGGGAAACATCAGGGCTCATACCATGCTCGTTGGAATCCGTGCAATACTCTTTGCCCTGATCTTTATTATGAGCAATATCCATGAGCATCCTTTGCATCAAAGAAACTCCCCCAACTTAGGAGGGAGTTCTCTGCTCAGTGCTGGATCTTGTATTAGTCACTGGGATGGATCTGGCCCAGCACCTCTGGTGTGATGGACACACAGACGTGTGACATGGTGAACTGTGCACTGCCTGCGTGTGGCGTGGATCAAACGGGCTCTGCTGGGAGGAGTTTTACTTCTGCACTGTGTAGGTAACTTTGTAGGGATCAGAGGGCATTAGAACCCCCAAGTTTTAGGTGAAACACCACGGGGTGGTGTCTATTTACAGAATATGCAACCTGTGACTGCTGTAACTGAATGTAAGCACTCTTGAAATACTCTGCTTTGCTGATGTGATTGTCTTAAAATATAGCAAATGAACCAAAACAAGTAAAACTGGTCCAATGGCTTAACTGTCTTTGAACCTTTCTTAAATGCTTGCAGTGGCTGAGACTTCATGATGTTTCTTGCACTTAGAGCTGTAGTGCAGAGGAATTATTTTCTCTTCACTGATTTTCAATCTGTTAGAGAAAATATTTCCCTTTTTGGTCCCTTTGTAGAGGGTCTGGAAGGACAGGACCTGTTCACTCCTCAGAGTCCCTCCAGGCTAAGACCAAGGCTGGTGACATAAGGGAAGGCTGTTCTGACAAAGTTTTTAAGCAAAAAAACTTGTTTAATTGTGAAGCTACATTTGTGTGCTCCTTGGATCCATCTGCATTGCTGAAAGGGTTCTGGACAAACTGTTCTCTTTGCTTCTAAAACCCAGAGATACTGATGATGTCAGTCATGTGAGACTTACAAATGTGAAGTTTGTAGCTTTAACTTTTTTGTAACAAAGAAATTAGCGACACTGGCATAAACTGCTGACTTGAAATGCTATTTTGTAAGATCTGGCTGTTTGTATATAATAGTGTTGGGTCTTTAGTTTGTATATGTATGAAATAGTAACTTTTATTGCATTCCTCTCAGTTTGATACAGGAGATTTTATTTGATCTTTCTCAAATATCTTGCCTTATTTGTTCAAAGGGGCAAATAAACTGTCCCTACCTGAAAGCATCAGGTAGTGTCGTGACTCATGTTTGTGCATTAAAATACTTTGGTGTGTTATTGCTTATCAGGGTGAGTTTTAACACGGTGTACCCCTAGTCAGCCAATGTTAATGCAACATTCTGGAGGAGAGTACAAGCTTTCAGCGACACAGGCAGTAAACACATCAGATAAACATTTTGGAACAGGCAGTTCCCCACGGTGAGGAGCACAGGCAGCCCTGCCTGGAGCCCAGTCGTGCAGGAGAGTCATTTGCCCCACGTTGTGCTCTGGCAAGGGGGGATGCTGAACTCTACTGTAGATCCTTGCTGTCTGCAGCAACTCCCCTGAGCCTGCAGTCAGGTTTGGGACTAGGTACATATCAATTTATCCACCTTCCTACACAACAGGTGAGGCTGGAGGCTCGCTCCCAATTCTGGCTCACTTTGAGCTTTCTAGCTCAGGAAAAGATGAAGCTGACAGTGAGTGGGTGCTGCCTTCCAATGGTGAACTGTTGGCTTCGACGTGGTTTCCCTGAGCAGTTACTAAATCTGTCCTGGAGGGATGACTAACGGGAGCAGAGACAGAATTCATTCAGGAGTCAGCTTTGGTTAGCAATCCCGGAAGAAACAAAATAGATGTGAGCTTTTAAATGCTCGGAAGGAGTGTGGAAGTGAAAGGGAGGGAGGCTGCAGGCATTTCTAGTAACTGGGAAAGCCTGGAGCTCTCCCATATCCTCAGCAGTGTTACCAGGATATTGTTGAGCCCCAGAACAAAGGGAGGGTTGTGTTCCCAGTGCTGCCATAGCAGGGGAGTGTTCATGTGCTCCCTCCCTGCTGGCAGCACTGCACCTGCTGCACAAATATTAAGTGCATATAAGGAACAAAGCCAACACTGACAGGTACCTGTGAGCTGGGACTGATGTTTAGCCAAGTTTTTCTCCCTGATAAGGGGAAAAGTCAACTCTCCACTAAACCTGTAGGATCAGCAGTTATTAACAATAATCAACACTTAAGGACGGGCTGCTGTGCCAGTGTCCTGTATGCCCAGCTATTCATTTCCTACACCCTCATTTTGTCCCATTTCCTCCTGTCCACAGGCCAGAAGAGTCTGAGCTTGGATAGATGCTCTGAGCATTGGCTGACAGCCCTGCCTCGAGCGCTGACAGCTTTTCATTGCGCTAATCACTCTGGCAAAACTTTGAAGGGTCAAACCAGGAAACAACCACCATCTCTTTCTAGACTGAAAGTTAATTGTCCTTTAATTTAAGAGCCCAGGAAGGTAGCCAATGTGTTTAGAAACTTTAAAACAGTTCAGTTCCAGCTCTGAAGGACAGTCTGTTCTGCTCCCCTCTAGGTTGTCACTGTTCAAATCGACAGAGCGCTGGAAGCGGAGGGAGCCCAGAGTCCCTGAGTCCCTTCCTGAGTGGTGAGAGCAGCACAGCAGCCTCTTACCTCTGCACAGGCATCAGGTGGCTGAGCTGTGGGGTGGACTTTCCTCAGCCCGAGGGGCTCACAAGCTCTGGACCATCACTCCTTCACCACAGAGGGGACGGTCTTGAAAAAGGCATGGGGCAGTTTTCCCCCTCTGCTCTCACCAGACTTGAGGTCTGGGTGTGAACATGCAGATAATGTGAACATCACTGGTTTTGTGCCTCCCTGCACATCTGACCTGTGGTTTTCATTCCCTGAAATGGTGTGACCTGTCTAGGCATGTTTGGTTAATTCAATTCCATGCCTTCAAGGCTGTTCTTTTGGCTTTCTCAGGCACTTAGAATGGAAGCCTTGAGACTATGTGTTTCCTATAACTAAGTTAACAGCTGTGGTTCAGATAAACCTCTACCAGGAGGAAGTGTTGTAGCATTATTTTGTAAAACAAAAAATAGAGTTACTGCACTGTTTGTCTTTACTGATCTCCTTACACAGTTCAGCAGATACCAGTAACACTGATTTGACACCTCAAGCAGTGTGCTCAAGCACTAAGCTTGGATTTTTACTGAGGTCAGCAGGGCTGTAGGAACCCGTGAGCAGGAGAGATCCCAGAAACGCTGTCAGTGAGGAGTCTTCCCTTCCTACAGATCAAACCCTTTAAAATCTCCCAAGTGCACGGACTGTGCTCAAGGCAGTCATGGTGCTTAGAGCTGGCAAAGGAAAAGAAGTTTCAAACAGAAGTAATGAAGTTTACTTTGTCTCTTTGAGGAGAGTTGTCTAATTCTCGGCTGCATTAAACAGCTTAATAAGGTCACTCCTTAATCACCATTCCCTGGAGGCAAGAGAGTCGTGCTTTCATCAATCATTTGGTGAATGTGGAAAGCAGCTTTGTAGGAATAACCTGATAAAGTGTGTAATTGATTTACCCACTGTACCAAATGAAAACGCAGCCACTCAGGAAAACTGATTAGGGATTAGCAAAAGAACATGAGTTTCCTCCTTGCCTTAGAAATAGTAAGTCAGCCCCGTCCTGGCAGCCCGTTGCTGCACAGACGTGTCTCTGCAGCGCGAGCGTGGGCTGTGATCACCCACTGCTGCTGGGCACCTTCCTGCACCCGGCTCTTCCCTGCTCTGCAGAACTCCAGCTCTGCTAGATCTGCCTGCACAGCAGTGGGAGGATTTTCCTGGTGCAGTTACTCAGAGCCATACAAATCCTAATGTCTTCAACAGAGTGCAGGAGGCTAAAAAAAGAAAACATCTCTCGTGGCTTTCCCAAACCTGAGCTTGGAGCTCTTCTACAGCAGCCCCCTCCCAGAGCTGCTGCCCCAGAGGGGCCCAAAGGATGTCCTGCCTTGCTTACAGCCCCCAAGGCAGGGGAGCTTTTCCCTTGGAAAGATCAGCAGCTTGTAGATTTTTATTTTTTTAATGGAAAAGGTCTCAAAGGAATAGAGATTAAATTCTGTTTTTACCTATGGCTCCTGTTGCACCCAGCAGAGGAATGCACCTGACACAGGAAGAGCAGTGGTAAGTCCTGCCCTCCCCAGCCAGCCCTTGCAGAGCAATAGCCTAGAGAGAGATACCCCCCTCATTTCAGAGCATCTGAGGCCACACCCAGCATCAGGATTCTCTCCCTCCCAGCTGTGATGCCTGGCTCCCTGTGTGGCTTTTCCCAGACCCCACCAGCTCCAACCCATCCCCTTGCACCCCAGGAATGCCCCATTCCTTGAGCCTCAAGGAGGTGGGTTATCCAAACTGCTCCAGCCAGGATGACACCAGTGGTCCAAGCACAAGGACAAGCTGTCACTCACCACCCGGAGCAGGGATGAGGTGGAATCTCTGCTGTGCTCCGAGGTGGTGCTGGAGCTGGCTGACAGGGACCTGCAGTGCTGTGGGAGCAGCTCAGCTGCTCCTGCTCACCCCAACCTGCTGATCCAGCCCCAGCTCAGCCCATGGGCTGCACGAGCGTGGGCACGTGCAGCTGCCACGAAACAGAAACCAGCATCCACAGCAGGTCACTGAGGTCTTTAATAAAATATACAGTATGCATCCATGCATAGATATAAAATTAATTTACATGCTCCTAATTATTTGCATAATGCTTTTTCATTAATAGTTGTAATTTACTCTTCACATTTTAATACGTTTTGCTACTGGAATATTTATGGTGAGAAGGGGAAACTCCTTCCTTTATTCAAGTAACAGTGCAGCGGGAGCCGGTCGGAGCAGACGGAGCCGCTCCCCAGCCCCAGCTCAGAGCAGGACTGAGCGCAGAGCAGACCACAAACCATCAACACTGGAAGACTTGATGATGCCAGAAGCGTGAACCCCCTCCTATCCCACACCACAGGTCCTTGGGGACCCTCCCCGAGTCCCAGTGGGGTTCAGAAAGGCTGGACCTGCACTGGCGTTGGTTTGGCTTTTCTTGCCCGTGATCAGCAGATCCAGCACCGGCAGCTGCGGCTGTGCCGACACCCAGCCAGGACAGCCAGCAGCAAACCCCACGATCCAGGTACCTGGGGTCATCCTGCGGCCACCAACGTGGTTTTGAGCTGATTTGGGGATTGCAGGATGCACATTTCCCCTGCTCGGAACAGGTGTTGCTGGGTGTGTTCCTCTGTGCACAATGGAGCTGCACAGTTTCCAAACAGAGAACCATGGGGGCAAGGAAAAACTCCACAGGGAATTAATGCTGTGCTGGGAGCAGCCCCGAATGTGCTCAGGTGGGCTGGGGGTCCAGGCAGGAGGGCAGTCTGGTGCTCCAGGCAGACCTCCCTGCCCGGCTGTGAGGTGCTTGGTCACCGAGGAGCAGTGCAAGGTCTCCCCTGTCCCACAGACATGGGGGTGCCCCCTCCGGGCAGAGGGAAGGTGAGTGCATCATCCCCTGGGGAGCTGAGCTCCCTGGGGGACAGCAAGGACACCCAGGGCAGTGTGACCCCCCACTCCTTACAGCCCTCCTGCCCCTGCCTGGCCCTGAGGCCAGGAGGGAAGAGGCAGAACGAAGCCAGGCTGTGGTGAGGGGGAACAGGCTGTGTGCCAAACCCGGCTGGCTTTGGTTGTCTCTCCTACCCCACCATGTCCTGCTGCAGCCCCTGGGCTCCCATGGCATAGGAGTGCCATGGAGGGAAGGGTTTGTGGGGAGAGCCCCGCTGGGGATGGCTCCTCAGTTCTCCCAGCTTGATCCCCTTCGGCTGCTCCTGCCTCAGAGGACAACGTCCCTTTGGCTGGTCATCCCTGGCTGGTGCCCCCCCTGCATGGGCAGTGCTCCTGGCTGTGCCATGCCCCAGCCCCAGATCCCTGGAGATCCCAGCAGTGGCAGTGCAGGCGAGCAGATACACCCCAGCTGGAACGAAGGTGAGGTCCGGTCGACCCCACTGCAGGGACTGAGGGCAGTGGGGCTCACCCTAAGCTGACACCACCTCTCCCCTTATACAGACTCGATTCCAGCCCCCTTTCCTTTATGGCTGGGGGGCCAGTTGAGCCTTTTGAGGCTGTTTCCAGTGGGGGGTAGGACAAGGCTGGGGCTGGAGTTGATGCCGACCTGGCAGAGGACCTGCAAGGGCAGCCAGCTTGGTCAGGGGCTGCCTCACCCACGAGCTATTTAGCCTCACCCTGGACAACACACAAGCTCCTGGCAGAGGAAAATCCCCCTCTACCCAGCTGAGGCAGTGCCTGGTAAGGAGTCACCTGTATTTCTTTTTTCTCCCTCCCCTTTTGGCGGGAGTATGTCCAGCACCACAGCCTCCATTTGCGGCCGGGGGGAACAGGATGAAGGCTGAAACACATCCAGGCAGACCCAGTCACCGCATCCCGGGGGCTGGAAGCAGCCAGCACCCACTGGGCATCTCCTCCAACCCCTGCTGTCCTTGGCAGGGCCGGGGCGATACCAGCCGTGGTGCAGGACAGGGAGAGCCCGGCTCCTCCGCCGTGTCCCGGTGCAGCAGCCGTGCCGTGCTCGCCGTGAGCAAGCAGGTCCCGCGGGCCCCAGTGCCACGGAGCGGTGGCTCAGGGGCTGGGGTGGGCACCGGGGGTCAGACCACGGCGGTCGGGGCTGCCCCTGTCCAGGGAGGTCTCGCTCAGGGCCTCCGAGTCCTCTCGGTCGCGGCTGGAGATGCTCTCCACCTCCGCGCGGTCCTTCTTCCCGCTGTTTCTCACGGCCGCCTCCAGCGCCTTCTGCTTGCGGTAGAAGTGGGAGAACTTGTTGAAGATGATGGTGATGGGCAGTGCCACGACCAGGATGCCCCCCAGGATGCAGCCCGAGGCAGCCAGCTTCCCCGCCACCGTCACGGGCACCACGTCGCCGTAGCCCACGGTGGTCATGCTGACCGTGCCCCACCACCAGCACGCTGGGATGGTGTCGAAGCCAACGTCTTCCTCCTTCTCGGCAGTGTAGGCCACTCCAGAGAAGACAGAGACCCCCACGGCCAGGTAGAGCAGCAGGATCCCCACCTCCCGGTAGCTGTGCTGGAAGGCAAAGCAGAGCAGTGGTCGGTGGGAGCCACCACACCCATCACCAGCCAGGACACTGGGAGGCCACAGTGCAAATGCAGCCCTGCTCACCTCTGCATGGATCTCAGTGCCCCTATCCAGCTCTGCCATGGGATGTCCTGCTGTAGGGACGGGCTGGGAGGTGTGTGGGTGACCCACACCTGGAGCGGGTGGTGCAGTCGGGAATCACTCCCGGCACCCACAGCCATCCCTCTGCACTCCACCAGCCTGCAAGTGCCAGGAGGGAAGGCTGCGCTCTCCAGCCAGGGATACCCAGCACAGGCTGCTCCCCTGCCTCTGGCACTCACTCCAACCTGATCTCAGCTAATAATATTTATCGCATTTCCTTTTATCTTGGCAGGTGCCCAGAAACCACCTAATAGGCAGCCGCTAAGAGAAGCAATTTGTACCTTCCCAAGTCACTGGCAGTGCTTGCAGGGAAGATGTGGCCTCTGCTGAGGCTCAGCTTAGCTCTCCCTGGGGACCCCACAGCCAGAGCCCCAGGGCCCTGGTCCCTGCTATATCCCACCACCACTGCCACTCTCAGCATCCATGGAACCCTTCGCTACACACGTGCGGGGCAGTTTTCTTGCAGACACTGTTGTTTCTGAGATAATTACTTTCCTTTCAGATTTTGTTGCTCTTCCATGGGAGACTCCAAGTGAACCTCAGAGCTGACATGGATCCAAGCAGCCCTGGTCATCTGGTCAGTGCAGGGATCCATCCAGTGTCAGCGTGGGCTGGTCTTAGCACCCATCCAACAGGGTGTTCCAATCCCCAGCTTGATGAGCCCCAGCCCAAGGGGTCTGGAAGCCCTGGTGGGAACAGAGCCAAGCTCTCAGGTGGGTGTGCAGGACCTGGGGGGACAGACTGACAGCAGAGGTGTGCAATGCTCCTTGAAGAAGCCATCATTCCTCTGGTTTCAAACTAAAACTTTTGTGCCACAATCTTTCTTTGGATATTCTTAATATCTGAGCAAAATATAAACCTGTGCCAGAAGCCCAGGGGGAAAAGGCAGTGGGCAGTTGCAGGACGAGGCAGCAAGTCATGCCAGGAAGGGAACTTCCAGGGGACAGGCTGCCAGCACCATCCTCCCAGCATGGTTTGTCCAAGCACTTTTTGACTGTCACAAGTGAATTTCTTGGATGTTTCTGCCCACTGATCTGCCAGCTTGCTCTTCATCGTTTCGGGAAAAGAAAGCAGAGCTTTGATCGTGGGGATTTTTTCCCAGTCTCCTAAAAGGCAGAGAATGCTTTATTGGAGACCACATAATGACTAAGGGAAACAATGTGAGCAAAGCAAACAGCACAGATGTGGGAAAAAGGCTTCTGTGGTCAAGACAAGACCTAAGGGAGGTGGATTCATGTCAGGGACTGAGGAGACTTTGTTTAGGCTGCTGGCAAAAGCTGCTCAGTTAATGCCAGTAATACCGAGGGGAAATAACCACCATCTCCTCCTCTTCCTCCTCCTCCCTCACCTGACACAGGGCAAATGCCCTGGAGCGGCTCCGAAGGAGGATGAGGACAAACAGCTCAGAGCCACTGAGTTTCAAGGATGTATCACTTGGCCATGAAAGACCTGCTCCTGGCTGGAGCTTAACAGCAGGTCTGTATGTCCCAGCTGGGCGGCAGCAGCACCGAATAACCTCATACATTTTTAAAGAGTATTGGTTCTGGCCCTGGGATGTGTTGGAGGGGGAGGGCAAAGGGGAAGTCAGGCAGCTCAATAGCTCCTGCTGCTTCAATTTACAAGCAGGGTCAGGGCTTGCAGCAAAAAGGAGGCTCCAGGAATCTCCCAGCCGGCGCTGGCTGCCACCTATTTGCAGCCATTTATCTGCAAAACTTATGGTTTGCTCACTGATTGAGGGGGAAGGCAGCTGCAGCTGGGGTTCGGGTGGGATGCAGGTTTAGCCATGGTTCAGGTGGGATCCAGGCTTAGCAAGTAGCCAGCCCTGGCGAGGTGATGCTCAGTAATACAAGGCTCCAGCAAAAAGCCCCCCCAGCCCTGCTGAAGGCACATCTTTCCTCCAGTACAGCACAAGACAACTGGAATGGAAGACCCCAGCCTGAGCCTGGCCAGAGATACCAGTGTGGAGACTGAGCAGAGATGGCCCAGGGTAACAGCAGCAGGGTGATGCATCTGCTGTCCGGGGTCGTGCAGCTCCAGCTCTTCCAACCTGTTTGTGTATTTAGGCCCCTGAGGGGACAGACAGCAACTCCTGTAGATCCCTGCTGGTGCTGTAATTACCCAGGGCCCAACACCTATTGACGGCCAGTGGGAGACAGACTCCAAACCCACACCCACGGAGCTGCAATAGTTTTAATGGACATCCTGCACTGCAGGGAGGGAGAACAGAGACACGTAGGAAGCCTCTCTTCAAATTAAACAGACCCTGGATCAGGCCTCAAGCAATCTGAGGATGGTTCAGGGCTCATGATGCACAAATGGCAGAATTCCCTCTGCTAGCACTTTCGTGGCAGGGGAACAATCTCTCGGCTTGCCAGAGCCATCGCTCCCACTTCCTGGCTGTTAACAGCCTTTACCGCTCCGCTCCTGATTCCTGCTCTTGCAATAGGAAGTAAATTATGATTAACAAGACGTTGTAATTTATTGTGCCCAGTAAATCACAACGCCAAGCTGCTGCGTCAGATCCGTGTCTCCGCTCATCCCCATTTACAGCCAGCTCCGGAGTCCCCGGGAAGCGGCGCTTTCCAGCGTCACTGGGTGAATCAGCCACCCGGCAGAAGCCGGAGCCGGGACGCTGCCGGCTCCCCGGATCTCATCTGCTGCTTAATAATAATATGCAGATGAGCCCCTGAGTCCCTGCTGTGCTGCAGCATGTTGTTCACTCTCGGATGGAGCACAGACGGGTGCAGGTTCGTGCAGATTCCAGCGGCGGCTTGACACAGGTCTGTCACTTGTCAGTGCTCTTGCAAGGTGAGTGTTCGGGAGTTTGTACCACACAGGGAGGGCTTCAGGCACCGTCATTTCAAACAACTCTCCCTGAACCCTGTTTTGAGGGTTTTGAGGATGCCAGGAATATCTGTGGGCTCTGCAGGATTAGTGCTGGGCTGGGCTGATCCTGCTTCACAGCAGAAGCTGGCAGAAGACCTTTCCTGCTGCCCATCCTCAACACCAGTCACACTCGAGGTTTGCTTTTCTCCATGACTCAGCCACAGGAACGGGACCAACCCTGGCAGCCGAGTCCTGCCGATGCCAGGACACCCCGTGCTGGCTCTGCCACTGCTGCAGCAGTGAAAACAGGGTGTCCCCCAGCCACTCATCCCTTTGATGGCCCTTCAGAGGCAGCAGCACCAGGAGCTGCAGCTCTGTCCCATGCCAGGCAGTGGGAGGAGAGTGTCCCTTTGGTTGAATTTCAGGCTCTGTTAGGAGCAGAACCACGTGGAGGCTGGTCTGTGCCACCCTGCTGAGCTGCAGGGATAGAGGTCTGGCTGCAGCACCGGGATGGTGACGATTTCATGACAGATTTCAAGCTGCCTTCGGTCTGTCTAAAGAGGCTGGGGGTGCTGTGGAGGGGGTCTGGAGAAACACAGCCTTGGGGCATGTTATGGAGGATGTGCAGCCTCTCACCAAATCTGCAGGGGTGCCACCTCCCAGCATGCCTGAGTCCAGGTCCTTCACTGTCTCACCATCTCCTCATCCAGCCCTTCCTTCCAAGGACAGCGTGGTCCTGGGACCAGCTTTCCCCAGCCCTACATGCCGAGTTTTCCATCACACTGAGTGGCAGCTGCTGGTAGCCCAGGCTCTGCTGAGGGCTCTGTGCTGGGGGCACAGACTCTGCCTGGGGCTGGTTGTCCTGGGCCCTGCAGCTCACCCTTGGCTTTTCTATTGCTGCTTTGTGCCACACATGGTTACCCATGAGCCAGTCCCAACCTCAATCTGGGAGCATCCAAGTGTCAGCTCACCTGGAACAGGATCTCTATGTCTCCCTAGATGGGCAGACACCAAAGGTCACCTGGCAGCCTGCTCTTAGGAGGTTCCCCCTTCTCCCAGATTAGGGACAGGAGCAGCTCTGACCCACAACCACTGATGCTGGCAGATCCAGCAGCTGCTGCCTGGCCTGGTGCCTGCTCAGCAGGTCGTTTACAGCCTAACTAGGCACAGACTCGCTTCTGGTGGGACGTCCCCATCCACCCACACATGGCTGAGTCCATGCCAGTGCCGTGCAATGAAGCCTTCACACTATGGTGGGATGGCCAAGTCCCTGGAAGCACATTTCTGCACGGAGCAAAATAGGGTGGATGGGTGTTCATGCTGAGTGTGTGTGAGAAGAGGACTCATGCAGTGCTCCTCACACTGGTTTGCTGTAGCAGACACACCAGCAGCCCAGCCCACCCTCCCAAGGAAGCTTGCCAGGCACCACCCAGAGCTGGGAGCCCACTGGGAAAGGGTACTTCCATATGCCCTGGCCATACCAGAGGTCTCCTTCTTACCCAGAGACTAAAGGAGTAGATAAGGAGATAGAGAGCCAGTTTACCTTCAAGGTGGCCCCCAGTGACCTCAGTCCAGTGGAGTGCCGAGCCAGCTTCAGCACTCGGAATATCCTCATGAGACGGAACACCTGCACGACCTTGCCCAGGTTGCCCAGCTCTGAGTCACTGCCCATGGTCACGTCCACCAGGAGGGTGAAGTAGAAGGGCAGCACCGAGACAATGTCAATCAGGTTCAGCGGGTGCTTGAAGAACTTCCTGGGGTTGGGGGAGAGCAGGAGGCGGGAAGACACTTCGAAGGTGAACCAGGAGATGCAGAAATACTCCAGCTTGTGCAGGATGGGTTCATCGAGCACGTTGCCATTCTCGTCCACCTCCTGGTACTCGGGCATGCTGTGGATGCACATGGTGGCTATGGAAACCAGCACCACGCTGATGGACACGAAGCTGAAGAGTTTGCTGGGGATGGAGTAGCCGGGGTTCTCCATGGTGAGCCAGAGCCGCTTGCGCGCGTTGCCGCAGCGCAGCGTGCTGTACCGCAGCAGGTCGTGGTTGATGTCAGAGATCTCATCGGGGGACGTGTCCACGCTGCTGACCTCGCTCTCCTCATCCCAGTTGTGGTGCCGGCTCTCCAGCTTGCGCTCGTGGTAGCGGTAGCTGCAGCAGGAGTCCAGGAAGAACTCGTTGATGCCCCAGTACTCGATCTCCTGGCAGAAGGAGAAGACGCACAGCTCCTCCATGACGTGCAGCTTCCCCGTCTGGTAGAAGTGGAGGACGTAGAGGAAGAAGCCGGGGTTTCTGTCGAAGTAGAACTCCCTGGCGCTCACGTCGTAGTCATCGCAGAGCTGCAGGATGGACTCCTCCGAGTCGCAGGACAGCAGGCGCCCCAGGCGCGTGTCGGGGAACTTGGAGAGGGCGCTGGAGCTGAGCCTCCTCCTCAGACCCCCCACGTTGATGTTGATAACGTCCTCCTCAAAACTGGGACCCCAGTAATTTAAGGTCTTGTTGACCATGATCAGCAGAGCAGGAGCTGGTTCCACCTGTGGAGGAGACAGCGGGGCTGGAGGGGACGCAGGGCTCCCCCCCCCCCCCGTCTGGGCGCCCCTGGGGGAGGGGGGGCCCGAAGCACCCCTGGGGGGGGGGGGGGGTAGTTTGATATTTAAAAGGGGGGGCCGAGGGGGGGGGGGGGGAGAAAAACAGCTTTAGAAGTTGTTTTTTTTGGGTATGGAAAGCTAAAAAAAAAAAAAAAAAGCGAGTGATTTTTCCAGGTGAAACTTTTCCTTGCTTTGTTTACCTCTTAAAGTTCCTCCCTTTGCAGGTCGTTGATGCCGAAAGAAGGCAGTTTACTGCACCTCCAGCACCTCCTCCATGGGGCTCTCCTTGTTCAAACAGGTAATTAGTCACTGAAGAGAGGATTTATCCCCCAAAGAGCATCCCTGAGGAAAAATTAGATCTCATCAAATCACCGCTGCTGTGATTCTGCCGAAGTGCTTTGTAGCCCCACTACCTACGCTGCTAATTAGACCCGGTCAAAAAGTCCTCAGATGGTGCAATTCTCCCAGCAGCACAGGCAGTTTTGCCAAAATCAAAGTATTGTCAGAGAAGGTGTCAGTTTTAGGGAGAATTTCAGAGGCAGAAGTGTCAAAACAATTCAACCGCCTGTTTTCTTTCCCCTTGTGTGTTCTGTCATGTAAAATATTATTATTATTTTTATAATGTTGAAGCATAACAAAAGCATTATTCAGAATCATCGATGACTGAATAAAAATCTGTATGCCAGTGGGGAAATAAAAACCCAAAGTTTTGATTTCTATTGTGTTTTAGGAATTTATAAGTTTCGGGGAGCTGGGCTTTTCCATGCAGCAGAAATTCTTTTTTTTAATGAGAAGCAGTTAGAGCATCTAAGAAAGAGAAGCATTCCCACACCTTCAGATGCATTTACCTGTCTTGACCAGGAGCAAAAAAAGGTAAATAAAATGTCACCTTGAAATCAGATTTTTTTCACCTTTCTTATTCATCAGAACACCTGGGGATGCACAGAGCAGCCCTGTATTCATGGGGTCCCCCTGCTCCTGGCATGGGGTGGTGGGTGTTGAGGGACACTCTTTCGCTCTCTTGGTTGAGGAATTACATTTTTCCTGCCTTGTGTTACCCACAGAATTTTTCAAACTTTCAGAGACAGGTAACGGAGTAGTGGTTAAATCCCAGAGGTTTGTTTTTAAGCAGAGCGGGGCTGTGGGTGCAGCAAATGCCAGATTTATGTGAAATAGCCTGGCAGAGGCATCTGCTAACTCCACTGCACCTCCCAGCCAGGGCTCCTTAAAGACACAGCTTTGCACCACAACGCCAGCGCTTCCATTACACCACGTCTGGAGGAGGCAACCGGCTCGTGATAAACCTCAGAGCTTAATGGACTCATTGTCTTGAAAGGGGAGGGAAGAAGGAGAAGGATCAACTCTTTCAATGCTTAAGAAAAAAAAGCAAGGGAGAAAAAGGGATGTAAACACTCCTTTTCAGGGATAAATTGGAATTTCAGTGACAGATTAGCTTTTCCAGAGAAGACATCACACAGCCCATCTGTGGGGTGTGGATGACTAATCCAGCTTCCTTCCAGAAGGATGCTCATGCATTCAGGCTACAAACACACGCAGACAGGGCCCTGGGGGTGCCTCTGTGGGATCCAGCTTGTCCCCATACCAGCCTCAGACTCTCTCCCCACTCTCCCTATAGAGCAGCCACTCTGTGAGGTCAGGCCAAATGCCACCAAAATCAAAGGCACGGTGTTTTTGAGGCACAGGGCAGCCCAGGACAGCAGGACAAGCCCGGAGCGATGCTCCAGCTCAGCAGGACCATCCCCAGAGCACAGCTGTGGCTCTGGGTGAGCCCTGCCAAACCCTGGGGGCCAGGAGGGAGCTGGCTCCCACCTCTCTCCCAGCTCAAAAGAAAAAGGTGGGTGTGAGGACCCTGCAAGCCTTTCTACCCCAGGGAAATCCCTCCATCGCTCCTGTGCCAGAAGCAGAATGAGGAGAAGGGTCACAAACCACCAGAGATGCTCCTTTCTGATGTTCGCTTCTGAATAGAACAAATTATTTCTGCCCACATACAGCTTTCATCTAGGAATCTAAAGCAGCAATTAATAGTTTTATAACTCTGTTGCCTACTTGTTTCACGACCAGCTGAGCTCAGCTTTAGAACAAAACTGGGGTTTGAACTGAGACCGGGCGTGATGTCCCCCGTTGGGTCACTAAAGTGTGCTCCCCACTCACATTTGCAGGGCTATCAGCTGGGAAACAGAAGCTCACATTAGGAAGGTTGGGTGATTTTTGATTTTAAAGCACAACGGAGAGAGAATACAAATGTGTCTGTCTGGAATACAGTGAATTTGCAAAATTTTCCTTTAGTTAACCCAAAATTTCCATGAATGATTGGAAAAATGGAACAGATAAAGCCAGTCTCTCTCTGATAAATGTTGAAATATATTGTAAGCTATTTTAAGACAACCATCAGAATTACACAAGCCCAGTGTGAGCTGGGTGTTGGGCATTCAATTGAATATCTGTGTTGTGGAGAAGAAAAATGTCTGATATACGGATTTATGACAGTAAAAAAAATATAAAAACAGATCAAGCGTATCTATAAGAAATGCTAGAAGAGTTTCCCTTGACAACATACTTTTTTTCTCAAAGGCTTTCAAATGGAAGTTATGTATATTTATTCTACCTGTCACAGGGGACCCAAGGGAGTGGGAAGGAAGGTGCTAATAGACATTCAAGGGAGGAGGCAGCAAGTGCAGGGAGTATTGCACACAGGGTCTTTTCCAGCCAGGTACAACGGATTTAGATTAACAGTTCAAATAAAAAACCCTGTACTTACAGCTCAGCGAGGCTTCCCAGCAGGGAGTCGTGTGGCTTGTCTCAGAGGAACCATTAGAAATTCGTAGAGGAGGAGGAATCCTTTATCCTTTGCCCCGTAGCCCAGACCTAAATGCCTTGTCAGCCCGGGCTTGTGACCCTGCACGTCCCAGGTGTGCCAGGGTGGTGGCTGTAAACCACTGAGGAGATCCTGTGCGGGATGTCCATGGGGCCGGGGTGGGGCCGGGGGTCCCCTGCTGGGTACCTGAGGGGGCGCTGGGGCTGGGTGACCTCCCGGCTTCTGCAGGGGGGTGTCCCCATGCGCTGGGTCATCCAAAATTGCCCCTGCAGAGCCCCGTCCCCGTCTCTGAGCGTCCCTGCACACATCAGCCTGAATCTGCTCAAGACCAAGCCTTGTCTTGGGCGGTGGGGGGTTTGCCAGGCGGGCAGTGGGGAGGGTAGAAGGGGGATTCCCACTGCTGGCTGCTCCCTGCAGGCAGAGCGTAAGCTGCTGCTGTACGAGGAGAGGCCACCAAAATGCCCAGGGCTGGGGATGGAGATGACGGGGGGACTCCCCGCTCGCCTCGGGGTGCAGGAGGGGGTGATTACCAACAGCTCGGCTGTCTGCTGCCAGCGGGCAGCCCAGCGCCGGCTGCAGATGATCCCTGCCCTGTGCCAGCCTCCGCTCCCAGGTCTCACGCAGCGGGTGCACAGCCCTCCGGAGGGAATCCCGCACCACGCTCCGTTCCGTGGGGAGGGAGAGATGCGGCTCCGGGGAGAGGGAGTCCCTTACACCCGTCCGCAGAGGGACGTGGAGTGTCCCTGCGCCCTGGGTCCCAGCAGCATCCCGGGATGCGGGTGCTGGCACGGCGGCTCCCTGCTTACCCCGGGGTGTCGGTGCCTCTCTTCCCCGCTCATCCCTGCATGCCGCTGCTCCAGCTGCCCTCTCACCCCGGCATGCCGGTACCCCGGGTCCCCCCCGCGCCCCAAGGTGCCGATCCCTGCAATGCCCGGGGATGCTGGCACGCCGGTTCCCGGGATGCCGGTGCCCCGGTCCCTGTGTTACCGATCTCACGGTCCTCGCCGCGCCCCGGGATGCCAGCGCCGCGGGTCCCCGCGATGTCGGAACCTGCAGCTCCTCGGGATGCCGGTGCCGCGGGTCCCCCGCCCCGCCCCGGGGATGCCGCTGCCCTCGCCCCCGCCCGCCCCGGGTGCCGGTGCCGCGGTGCCCGCGCTGCCGGTGCCCGCAGCTCCCCGGTGGCGGAGCCCGGCCCGCGCCGCCGCTCACCTGCC